TTCCGGCATTACGTTACAGCACAGGAGAGACCTTTGTCCCCTACTTGATTTCATACAGGCTAGACAGATAATGTACCAGTGGAAATTCCCTTTTTGCCTATCGGCCACTTATTTGTGCCACACAGCTCTGCTCCGAGTGCCAGAGGACTTATCTCAATTTTGCAAATGCCTTGATATCCTGACGCCTGACCTGCCGGACTGGTATAGTGCATTCCATGCCCTAGTACTGGAGCAGAATGTTTCTAGGGAGGTACTGGGCCCTCCCCCTCGTTCCCGCAGCCGGCACTCGCTACCTTTTGACTCTCCATCTACGAGTCATCGCAGGGACCCAAACAACACCAGCCCGACAGCCTCCACAGCTCACAAGAGAGCCCGACAGTGTGACTAACAACACCTCGGTCTGTCTATCTTTCATTATGGGTCTAGTTCAGAATGTGAGTAACTGTATCCTGGATATGGTGATATTTAACCTTAAAATGGACAGATCTCCCTGAGGTTTAGGTCACTACATCACACCTCTTGTAGCTCATGTTCCTATCCACCCACTCCTCAAACAAGAGACCACTCTGTTTTGGGGTATCCCTCTTCAGCCTGTGTACGTCATGGGGCATCATCCCCTCAGTCCCCGCTCTCATGTCATCAACAAGACCAAGATCTTGGTGGCCTTTGAGGGACGTAAGCCGCTAGCAGTTCTCTTTTTAGCCTGGTGGCTTTGCCACGTTATCCTGTTGTACTGTACAGGCTATTGTTTTACTGTTGTGAAACATGTTGGATTTCAGCTTGTGGAAGTGCACCCTCTCTCTGTGCCTTGCTCCCTCCTCTCTTCTCTCCGAGACCATGGGCATCATCTGCACTGCTCCAAGAGGAACTGTACTACTCCCCAGGCTAGCCCACTGTTCTTCCTATCTTCTATCCTGGTCCTTTTTCCCCCATAAATGATCCTTTAAGCCTAACTTTTTTCTTTCCCTGATTTTCCCTTGAAATATGATACTTGTGGTTATGCGATGGTCTCTATGTATGCTATGGCTCTTCCACAGGACTACTCCCGAGCTGGCTTCCTCCTTCTGCTGTAATACAGTGTTCTTCATTGTCTATGCTATGTTGTGTAATGTTGTATAGCTGGTAAAATTTCTGTTCTGCACAGTTTATGTAAGTAGCTCGTTGGGGTTTGGGTGGGTTAACCTCCCTTCCTAGGCTTTGGTGTTTATGTGCCCTTATGAACATCTCTTCCCTGTATGCAGTGATCTCCGGTCAGTGCCCAGTCGGGAAGGCCTATGTCTTAGTGGCTCCCCCTTCTGCCCATGTCTCTTTCTCGCCCTCCCTACTATTTCCCCTCCCTCCTTCCGCCCCCCCCCCTTAAGTTTCCCTGTGTTTTGTCTCTTCTTTTCCTCTGTACATTATACTCTTCATATGCGTGTATCTCTCTGGTTGGTGGGCTTCTCACCCCCTGGTCATCTTTGCATACGCACCCACACAGCGGACTCGGATGAGTCTCTTGAACCCCCCGGCCTCCTCTATACTTTTTCTAAGTGGTCTAGTATTCTAGCTCCACCTCTGGACATTCCTGAGTTCTTACCTATCTCTCTCCTTTCTGTCTTTCCTGACTGCTCTTCCTCCAGTTTTTGTCTTCACTTATCTTTCTCTCACAACACTTCTCCACCCCCCACCCCTTATTTTTCCAATCTCCTATCCCCTCCGTGGGCCTAGGGCCCCCTGGGAGAGCTCAGTTTCATTGCACCACTTAAGGCCCTTTGAGCAGTCGTGTACCATGTCTTCACATAAACACCGTTCCTCCCAATCATATATAAAATTACTATCCCTTAATGCACAAGGATTGAATGTACCAGAAAAGAGATCCCAAGTTCTAAAGGAGTCCTGTCAGCTCAAAGCCCATGTTGTCCTGCTTAAAGATGTGTCACCCTTATTGTCATGGCTGTTTTCCCATGTGCTTCTTGTCTTGTTCAAATGCAGCGTGAGTTTTAGCAAGAAGAAGGAAGTGACGTGATCTCAGGTCTCTTAGAGAATGCACTTGTTTCAGCTTCTCGGAATGTGAAGAACGACAGAGTCTCCATGCTTTGCTTGTGCGTGTCTGTGAGTGAATGGAAGGACATGTGTAGGTATGTGTTGTTTGTTGTGTATTGCACCCTTTTCCTCCCTTAGGATGTCTTTTTATGTTATATCTAGACGTCATAATTCTCATAACTTAGAAGCTTGTATTTTCAACAATTTTGCTTAGTAGAGCAATTTCATTGAAGGGAGTGGATATTACATATATAGTCTTTTGATTGACAAACCCATATGTAATGGCTTCATAAGTGGACAGTGTTGCATCAGCCAACTCATGCGCCAAGTTACTTAATCTATCTTTACAACATAATATCTCAATGATGTTGTATAACCAACATAACCAAGCCATATACGTGATCAAATCAGGGCCCTTGACCTGCATAAAACTGCTCAGTCTCTCACCTGGGCTAGGCAAAAATTTTATGAGTTATCTAATAAACCCAATTGCATGCTCATGAATAGACTTAAATCTCAAACATCCCCCTCATTACTGGCCATCTACTCCAGCCCGATGGTAAACCCACATATGACCTACATATTATGGCTACAAATTTGGGGAATACTATGAGAAGCTTTATAATAGCCTAACCCCTGATATTCACCCTCCACTTCAGCTGGCTGCTTTTGACGCTTTTTTGACTCCTTACACTTGCCATGTTTGTCCCTTTCCGATGTTACAGCTCTGATTGCAGACATTTCCATTGAAGAATTTTTGGACATTGTTAAACACCTTCCTACTCACAAGTCCCCAGGACCGGATGGTCTCCTTTACTTATATTACAAGTCCTTTATAGGCATCTTAGCCCCCCATCTTCTGACTTTGTTCCGGGATCTCCTGAAGGGGTTGCACCCATATGATGACTTTACACACGCATATATTTCTGTGATCCCCAACCCGGATAAGGACCATTCCCTCCCAGTTAACTATCGCCCTATAGCCTTATTAAATTCTGACTACAAGATTTTTTACGAAAATACTGGCTAATAGACTGGCCAAATGTATCTCCAAGCTTATACATAGAAACCAGGTGGGCTTTGTCACGGATAGTCATGCTGCAGATAACACCAGTAGGACCATTGACCTGACTGATCTTGTCAATAAATCCCCAAATCCTACTCTCTTGTTGAGCTTGGCTGCCCAAAAAGCGTTTGACCGATTAAGTTGGTCATACATGTTTTTAGTCTTAGAGAGATTTGGGTTTAGCAGTCCATTTGTAGCTGCTTTGAAAGCCCTTTACTCCACCCCCTCTTCCCAGGTCAAATTAGCGTCATTCTTATCCCCTTCGTTTCGGATGTCCAATGGTACATGCCAGGAATGCCCGCTTTCCACTTTGTTTGTTTATTCTCTGTTTGGAACCCTTGGCTATAGCTATCAGATCCAACCTGGATATTCATGGGATATGCACTCATGCCAGTGACTTCAAACTGTCTTTGTTCTCTTGCTGACACTGACGGAGCCCCACACTACTCTACCTGTTCCTACCACATCTTCCTTGGAAGAATCTGACAAGGGTTGATTAGCCTGAGAAGGTTCTGAGACTGCTCATTGGCAGAATATATGACCCCTTCAAAGGGTGAGTAGAAGCAACTCCTTTAGAATGTATTGACCACATGTTCAATTAATGTGACAGCCTGTTAGTTACCCTGGCTGTTTAAACCTGCAGGGTTCATGCAATCCTGCTCATCCGTAACTTCTTTTTGGAAGAGTCTAAAGAGGATTGTTTGCCTGGAAGGCTAGGAGACTGCTCCTTGATAGAATAGATAACCCTTTCACAGTGGAAACACTCCTTTAGGGTGTATTAGCCTCATGTGACAACCTGTTAGGTGTCATCATGTTTATCCTTGGTTGCTTGAACAAAACAGTATTCATGCAATCATGTCCATCAGCATCCTCCTCTTTGGAAACATTGAAGAGAGCTGTTTCACCAGTGAAGGCTAAGCAGCTTCTCATTGCTAGAGTAAATAATCCTTTCAGAGGGTGAGTTGAAACCACACCTTCAGGAGTGTATTGACAGCGTGTTTATTGCATGTGACATCCTGCAGTGTGTCATCATCTATCTCTATCCCTAGCTGCTTGAACAGCAGGATACATACAGTCATGCTCATCCACATTTTCTTCTTTATGGAGCCTGAAGAGGGCTATTTGCCTGGGAGGGCTATGAGACTGCTCAACTTCTTTTGAGTGCATTGGCCACTTGTTTAATGAATGTGAAAACCTGTTAAGAGTCATCATACTCAACTCTGGTTGCCTGAACAAAGCATGATTTTTACAGTCATGTTCATCTGCATCTTCCCCTTTTGAAAGTCTGAAGAGGCTGCTGTGCCTGAGTAGGCTAAAAAACTGCTCATTGCCAGAAAATATAACCCTTTCACAGAGTGAGTGGGGACACTCCTTTGATTTTATTTGCCACTTGTTTAATAAATGTAACAACCTGGTAGGGGTCATCATCCTCATCTCTAGTTGCTTGAACAAAGCAAGATTCATACAAACATGTTCATCTGCATCTTCTTTCTGCAGTAAAGAAGGGAAAGTAGAGACATGATTGAAACCTTTAAATACATCGAGGGGGTGTATAAGGTTCAGGAGGGCAGTATTTTCAACATGAAACCAAAAACAAGAACATAGGGAAATGACCTTAACCACTAGCCTACTGGGCACTTATACCTCCTTTCTGCCCAGGCCAATTTTCAGCTTTCAGAGCTGTCGCACTTTGAATGACAATTGCGCAGTCATGCAACACTATACCCATATGCGTTTTTTATCATTTTTTCACACAAATAGAGCTTTCTTTTGGTGGTATTTAATCACCTCTGGTTTTTATTTTTGTGCTATAAACAAAAAAAGAGAAAAAAATTTGAAAAAAAAAGTTTTCTTTGTATCTATTATAAAATTTTGCAAACAGGTAATTTTTCTCTTTCACTGATGTGCGTTGATGAGGCTGCACTGATAGGCAGCACTGATGGGCACAGATAGGCAGCACTGATGGGCACTGATGAGGTGGCATGGATAGGCAGCACTGATAAGTGGCACTGATGATGGTGCACTGATAGATGGCACTGATGGGCAGCACTGATGGGCGGCACTGGTGAACAGCACTAATGGGTGGCACTGCATGGCACAGGTGGGTGGCACTGATTGGCACAGGTGGATGGCACTGCAGGGCACAGGTGGGTGGCACTGCTGAGTGGAACAGGTGGGTGACATTGATGGGCACAAGTGGTTGGCACTGATGGGCATGTGGGTGGCATAGGTTGGCGGCACTGCTGGGCCCTGATGATCAGTGCCGATCCCTTTGCTGACAACTGCCGCTTCTCGGCAGTACTTTCCTCATGCTGTGACAGCGTGAGGAAAGTGCAGCCAAGAACTGGCAACTGTATTTACCTGGTGATCGCCGTGTCATTTGACGCAGCTGGTAAAAGGCCGTTTACCGTACCCCGTGATCAGCTGTGTCTGTAGTACACAGCGATCACCAGCGGCGCTGGGGGCTCGCCGCTTTAGGCAAACAGGGGCGGGTTCTGGAATGACGTCCATGGACGTCATCCCAGGATTCCACAACCGCGTTGTAGCCATCCTTCGGCTATAGCATGGTTGGGAACCAGTTAAACCAACTGGAGGAAAGTTCAAAACTAATCTCAGAAAGCATTATTTTACTGAAAGAGAAGTTGATGCTTGGAAAAAATTTCCAGCAAAGGTAGTAAGCCAGTCAACAGTAAATAGCTTACAATATGCTTGGAACAAGCATAAATATATATTCAGACAAAAAAGTTGCAGAGAAAAAAAAACAATAAAACAAAGCAAAAACAGACAGACTCGATGGACCACTCAATCTTTTTCTGCCTTCACTTTTCTATGTTTCTTTTTTTTGAAGAGCCTGAGGAGGGCTGTTTTGCTTGGGGAATCTCTGAAACTGCTCGTAACCAGAATAAATAATCCTTTCACAGGGTTTTGCCTGCCACTTAACAGATCAGTTAAAAAAAAAAAAATATTCAATGCAATAGAAAATAGCTTGCTTGGTAACAAACTCTAAAGGATTAACTACTGCTAGAGGGAGGCTGAAACTGCAGCTTCCAACCACAGCTCAGATTTCATCAGGTGATTAATGAACCAAACCTTGCCCTGCCAGGGAACAGGACATAATGAAAAAGTTTTGTTCAGAGAGTGCGAGGATCCTGAAGGTTCCTAGCGTGCTTCCCTCTGGTTCGATAAACACTAAAAAACTGGATGGGAGGCCTGGAGGTCCGCCTTTTAAAAGGCATGGGGGGATGGCGTGTTTCCTGATCCGGAGGGAGGAGCTCTAAGTCTCAAGTTGCTGTCCTGGAAGACGTAGGGAGAAAGTTTTGTTCAGAAGAGCAACAAAAGGTAGGAACCTGCAACAGAATTACAATAATATTCTGCAATGTACACAACCATCCAAGGGAATAGTTAACATCATAAAGACCTTCTCTTCCTTTTTTTTTGGCTGAGAAACTGGAGAGTACAAAAAAAAGATGTATATAGCATTCATTTGGATACAAAGTATTTTAAAATTTAGTTCACCTAACCTCTGCCATCCAACTGTAAACACTGGCACTGTGCTGATCTGCATGCCTACGGGAGACTCTGCTGACACCTCTGCCCACTTCACATGGACTCAGCTGACCCCAGACAAGGCTGTTAGCTGTGATAAAAGTGGCACTAAGGACCAGCAGTGGGGCTCCCTGGATTGTGGGTAATTTAGCTGGTACACAAGGACTGCATCCAAGCTAAACCCGCATGCATGGACAGATGACAGGTCCTTTAGACCAGCCAGGTAGAGGAGCACGCTTTGGTCCTGCTCATAGGAGGAACAAAGAGGAACACCGAGGCTGCAGGTGAACTCAAATTTATCAGTTAGGTTCTGGAAGCATGGGGATGTAGGGCCCATACCCAGCTGTGCTGACATGAAGAAATCAGGAAAAAAAGATTTGCCTTTGGATGTACTTTAACCTTTGTGGAGCTCCCTGAAAAAATGTTGGCAGTTCAAGAAATCATTTGGATAACCACAGCTGGCATCACATTTTTTCACTTTTTGGCTTTTAAATAGATATAAATATATATAATAATTAGCTAATGTCTGTTCTGGTTTTACAGTTGTCTAAGAACATGTGATGTTCAGGCTTGGACTTGGCAACAAGGCTATTTTGGGGTCTCATATTTTACTTCTATCAGCATTATTGCAACAGAGTGGATGCAAAATAAAAACACATAATGACCCAGCTGTTTGATGGATATCCTGTGTGATATTCATTACATGGGCCTTCAAAGTGATTGGTGGGTTCAGGTTCATCCAATCTTTTACTGTTATGTCTCATTCCTGTCCTCACACTTATCTGGATTACTCTTTATAATTCTGGGTTTACGCATCCTTCAATTGACAAGCAATGGCACATAGAACATAATTATTACTCATCTACCCATAATTACTGTTACCAGACAATATCCGCATGACTGTATAAAGCCCAAGTCTAATAAGCTAAATATAATAACAGTAAAAATGAACAGAATGCTATATTGAATGTTCTTTGCGTTTAATGTTTTTTAACTATAATTTAATATTTGTATCATTTTTTAAACTTGAAAAGAAAAAAATTGGAGGCTCTAGTACCTAATTTCCATATTTTAAATCTAATTGCACAAGTCATGGTCCTTTAACTTGTCAAAGGCAAAGTCACATTTTCAGGATGATTGAAGTCATTTGTATTATATAACACATCAAGCACTGACAATATGTAATGCGGTTAGAAAGGATGACGAGGCTTTCAATCTTCTTTTTGTCAAGCTCATTATAAATGAATCAGTCAAGGCCATCAGCTCTAACATATTATGTACAATACAATTTATGTGCAATAATTCTCAAATCATATGCTAGACAGATTTAAAGGCACAGCCACTGATATGAATAATGTGAATTCATTAAATGTATTTTAAAATTATATTTGTAAATCATTCAAGGGCTCTCAGTGGTTGCCCTTTAGTGTCTTGCATTGAGAAAGCAAGTTGAGTAAAAGAGAATTAAAGGAGAACTCCATATGCATCTAAATTGACTACATAACACAACCCAGGCACAATTTTAGAAACTTTTTTTTAAAGAGAACTAGTCACAGATAGGTATTTGAAATAATCTGAATTTTAAGTCTAATAATTACAATTTAAGAATTAATTGTAATTATTTGTGTTCTCTCTCTTTGAAGGCAAAAGTGTCATGATGAGTATCAGATTTTTACAGTGGCTCTCTTATCTCCTGCCCTGCCTGAGCTCAGTGCTTGGAAAAATACTCATTTAACAAGTATATCTATCCTCTATGGGAGAAAGGGCAGACTTTACGGCTACCAAGGGAAGACACAATTTTTATTAATTTCATACACTTTATTAACAACCTATTAAATAGACAATAAAAATGGAGACTAGACACCTACTCTTATTTATGTATAATTTCATCTTCTATAAACAAGTTGCATGGGTTGTTTATACATATCTTCAAAACAAGCACATTGGTAGGTCAACGCGTTTCACAAAATTGCTTCCTCAGGATAATATACTATGTAGCTTAGCCACTTCAATGCAAAGGTAAGTAACATGATAATATGATAACCCATATGAACAGCTAAAAGCAAAACGACGATATAGAACTTAATATCAGCAATTGGGATGGCTCTAAAAGAGGTCACACAATTGTCGAAAGACCAACTTACTTATAAGATCATTTTCACTGGAATACTGCCACTTAAAAGATCATTTTATATATTAGCTTTGTTTGGGCCTGTGGGCCACCACCAACTGCTGTTTTACTCACCTGCTCTATGGGGGTATGTTAATGCATTGAAACCCGTAACTATGATTATTTCTAAAAAGTTTTTTTTATTCCTGTATATTAATACATGTTTCTTCATTTAGGTCATTCTTCCTTAAAAGCATATGAATGGTCCTGAGAAAGCAATTTTGTGATACGTGTTGACCTACCAATGTGCTTGTTTTGACGATGTGTATAAACAATTACTTGTTGATGGAAGATGAAATTGTACACAAATAAGGGTAAGTATCTAGTCTCCATTTTTATTGTATTTTTAATATGTTAATAAAGTGTATGAATTTGATAAAACTTGTGTTTTCCCTTGGTAACAGTAAAGTCTGCCCTTTTTCCCCTTAATGTAAATTTTTGATACATAGATGTTTGGGTTGTGGTACCTACGTTAGCAGCAATACCCTGTACTATTATCACTTCATTAAAATGTCAATTCCTGTCTGCATCAGCCACAGCTTTGTCCATTCCTCCAGCTGCTGTGTAAGTGGACAGCAGGCAAACATCAGGATTTTAGGCAAGATCAGTGCTTTATGTGCACTTCTAAAGTAATTTAATGGAATTACCAAAATGAGTAGAGCTGTTAGGGCACAAAAAATATAAACAAATCAAGAACTTAACCGCTTCCACGCCACCCTATAGCAGAAATACTGCAACAGGGCAGCACAGGTGCTCAAAATCATGTATATATTATTGTTATTATACAGGATTTATATAGCGCCAACAGTTTGCTTAGCGCTTTACAATATAACAGGAGACAATACAGCAACAATACAGTTCAATACAAGAGGGATAGGAGGGCCCTGCTCCTATACGCGATTATGCATTTCTTACCTGAGCTGCCATTAGCAGCCTCACCTGTCAGTCACCGGGTCCTGGCTGGTGATTCCCCGCCAGCACCTGGTTATTACTGAGTATCACTGATGGGGGAGAGACCTGTTTGTAAACAATACAGATTTCTCCCCTGTCAGCTCCTGTATACTGCTTTGTATGGCCATACAAAGCAGTATGCTTACTGTGTAAAGCACACACATAGCACACAGTGAAACAGCACACAGTTAACCCTTTGATTGCCCCAGATGTTAACCCCTTCCTGCCCAGTGTCATTAGTACAGTGTCAGTGCTTTTTATTAGCACTGATCACTTTATTGGTATCACTGGAGATGTCAGTGACAGTTAGTCAGTTTCCCCCAGTGTCAGAATGCCCACCACAGTCCTGCTATAGGCCACTGATCACAGCCATTACTAGTATAAAAAAAATCTAGTATATATACCGCTATTTGTAGACACTAACTTTCACGTAAATCAATTAACCACCTTCCGCCCGCCATATAAGGAAATGACGGATGGGCGGTGGCTCTCTCATTCTGGGAGGATGTCATATGATGTCCTTCCACTCTAACGGCGCATGCGTGCCCCCCAGGGGTGCACAGCACTGCGATTGGTGGTGCGCTGTGTCC